GTGCATATAAATTGTATGGTAAAATTCATTTAACATTTGCTGGAAAAGTGCACAATGGCTCAAATGCAAATGAACGAGTTAGATTGTCATATTAAAAGTGCAAATCAATATAAATAAAAGTGCACGTAGAGAAGTTTAACACACTTCGATCAAAAGTAAGGCTAGTTTTACCAAAAAGTGCAGAAATATATATCAAATAAAAGTAATCTATAAAAGTATTTGAATTTTATAGAACAATCGTAGATCAACTACAAAATGTGTACCTCAATGTTAGAAGTGCACAATAACTCAAATGAAGTGCATAATAGAATGATCCACATAAAACATATTTTTAAACATTAAACATATGTAAATATATATTGCACGTTAAATACATTTTGGTGCACAATAAATTTTTCTAAGATGGATATATATCTCATTTCTCCACGCACGTTTATCTTATTTTTGGTGCACTTTAAATTTATTTGGGTGCATACTAAATTTATCAAAAATGCATAATAATATTTTAATGCACTTTCATATTAAATTTTAGTGTACGAAGTCAATACTCATTGTGGGGAGTACTAATTTGAAGGAAAAAAACAAGATAACGTAGTTATTAGATGGAGTTACTCATTAATTATTATCCTAATTTATAGGATTCCTTTCCTATTATAATGCTACGTGTGTTGAACCTATCTAAATGCAATTTACAATAGTGACCCTCATTTAATATTGAGTTGAACACCTTCCATATCTACGAACTTAATGATCCGAAATAAATGCAAATCAACTGCTTTTTGGAATTGTTTTTGGCCGTGAGATTAAGTGAATTGAAGGTTAGATTTTGATCTTTTTTACTCTCCTAAGAGGGTGTTCTCACAGGAACCGCACCCTATATATATATATATATATATATATATATATATATATATATATATATATATATATATATATATATATATATATTCATAAATTGGCCAATACAGCCACTTAAGTTAGAACTTCATAAATTTCAGCAGAATCAGCCGATTCAACCGATTTCAGGGTTACCAAACGGGCTACGAAATAGCTTTTTCTATTATTTATTTCTGCCATTTGCTTAGTAACAGGTTGGTTACACCTACAACCTAAGTGGAAACCAAGTATTTCATGGTTCAAATGGAATAATCTATTAGATGTATTACCGCACCTTCAAGGATTAGGCCCCCTTTTGACAGGTCAGTGGAATATTTATGCTCAAAAATCCCTATTCAAGTATTCATGGTTCAAGTATTTATTTGGTGCCTCCCAGAGAGCAGGTGCGTTTCTTCTATAGGTAAGGCAATCATAGCGCCCTCTTGGGTAAGCTTCGCGACCTGGTGGGCATTTTATGGATGACACATGTATGACAAGATTCTTGACTCCTTTGACAGTTTATTTGAAAACTTTCCCCTTTCAGCATTGGATATCAACTTCTCTCAGCTTGTACATAAAAATTGGTAAACATTTTCTAGAAACAGGTGGATACCACGAGATTATTTCTCTCATAAAATCGGTCTATGGCACATGCCCACATATTCATGATTATAGAACGTGTTAGTTTTTTTTTTTCTTTTATTTCGGGTAGAAGTTATTTGCTTCTAGCAAATCCATATTTGGTATAGCCAATATATAATCTATATAATCTTGTAATGTGCTTTTTTCTGCTGCTAAAAACTCATCGAGCAAACAAAACTTTTCGAACAACTATCCACAAGTTGAGTTTATACGTTTTGTGTAAAAATTAGCAATAAGATGGTATATTTTCTCATTGCATTGTTAGTTCTTTATGTTTTATTTCGAATCTCCAATGGCAATGAAACAAGTGGCTCCACAAATAGAGGCTATTCAGGAACGGTATTCTGGTAATTAGGGTAGTGGAATTTGGCCATAACGCATCTATTGATACAAGAAAACAGAGAAGTGTTGTTATATTTCTTACTCAAAGACAATAATGCTATGTGAAAATTATGGCCTTGTGTTCTAGCTTAGAGCTTCTTTAAGTTTAAGAATCACATAATTGTTTATTTATGAGACTATGTGAAGGTCTTATGAAAAAATAGTTTACATGCCATTATTTGTGAAAACTTGAACACCCTTTTTGTGTATTTCCATGTTTCGGAAAAAGGTACAACAATCTACCTTTATACATACTTTTTATGTCTATAAGAAACAATTATTTGTGCAAATTATTTGCATGTTGGGCATTTATGCAATCGCGCAACGCGCTTAGAAAAACTAGTTCAATCAAGAAGTTAAGAGAAGCTGATATAGTGATATCAATGTATATTGAATAGATAAAAAAAGCCAATGATGTGATATTATATAAAAAAGAATTGCTCATTTGGTGAAATTACGTCATTGATTGAATTTTGAAGTTGGTAAATGGTAATTGAAGTGATGAGTTGCCAAATAAAATAAAGGGAACATTAACCCTCCCATAAGAAGAAGAAAAGATGCTTGAACAAAAATACAACTGTTTAATTTTTGTAAAATATAAACAAATACTAATTAGTAATTTAGTATATCTTACATGCAAAGATACACTTTTTAAATTGTACTAAGAAAGAAGTATGACTAAATTTACATGGACTCGGGTCGGGCCGCCCGGCCCGGAACCGGTACTGTTTGGGTCCGGCCCGGCCCAGTACCCGGTTATAGGACCGGTTCGGGCCACCCGAGCCCAGAATTAATCCGGTCAGTCTCGGGCCTCCTAAAAGTGGAACCGGCCCGGTCTTCTTCTTTTTTTGGTTTTTTTCAATTTTTTTGGTTTCTCCTGGGTTGGTTTGGGTGTTTTGGGGGGGTTTGGGGGGGTGGGGGTGAAGGGGGGGTCGGGGGTTAATTAGAAAAGCAAAAGAAATTTCAAAAAAAAAATAACATGAACCGGCCTTGCCCGGCCCGTAGTCATGGACCCGGTTCGGGCCGCCCGGCCCGGGACCGGCCCGGCCCGCTACTGTGCGGGCCCGGTTCTCGGGTCCGGGTCGGGCCTAGGCCCGGTGGGGGAGGCGGGTCCGGGCTCGGACCTTGTATTTGGCGAACCAGTGCGGCCGGGTCGGGCCCAGGTCCGGACCGAATTGATTTTTTTTTTTATTTTTTTTTTCATTTTTTGGGGTTACCCGGGTTGGGCTTGATGGTTAGGAGGGGTTTGGGGGTTTTGGGGGGTCCTGTCCAGACGTCCGGACAGGAACCGCCGTCCGGCCGGCGGCGTTTGGCCGCCTTCCCGGTGGAATTTTTTGATGAAATTTTTATGGCATGTTCTCCATCAAGTCTAGTTTATCCACAAAAAAATTCAGCCAAAAACTCAATCGGGAAGGTCGTCAAATGATTTTTGCAAGTTAACTGGTCCGGAAAATACATATTCCGGACCAGTTAACTTGCAAAAATCATTTGACGACCTTCCGGATTGAGTTTTTGGCTGAATTTTTTTGTGGATAAACTAGACTTGATGGAGAACATGCCATAAAAATTTCATCAAAAAAATCCACCGGGAAGGCGGCCAAACGCCGCCGGCCGGACGGCGGCTCCTGTCCGAACGTCTGGACAGGAGCATTCCTCTATATATATATATATATATATATATATATATATATATATATATATGACCAAACCGGAGGCCCGGGCCGGCCCGGGCCTTCCTTCCCAAAAAAAAGCCCGGCCGGGCCCGGCCCGGAACCGGAACCGGCCCGGCCCGGGTCCATGACTACCGGCCCGGAACCGGTGCCTACCCGGGCCGGTTCCGGTTCTTCCTTTCCACAAAAAAGTCCGGCCAGACCCAGCTCAGAACCGGCCCGGCCCAGAACCGGAACCGGCCCGGCCCGGGTCCATGACTACTCTGTCCTCTTAGATTGGGACAAATGAGAGTGGTGCTAGTGCACTTTAAAAAAAAACTAGAATTATATGTTTTTAATTAATCGATAAGGTAGGAATAAAGTAAGAATGAATTAGAACCACACAAATTAGTCATAGATCCGGACCGGGCCGGTTCCGGTTTCAAGCCGGGTCGGGTCGGGCTTTTTTTTAGGGAAAGAAGGCCCGAGACCAGCCCGGGTAGCCGCCGGGTCTGGGCCTGGCCTCCGGTTTGGTTATATATTTTTTTTGCTTTCCTACCCCCCCCCCCCCCCCCAACCCCTCCTAACCATCAAGCCCAACCCGGGTGGAACCCCAAAAATGAAGGGAAAAAAATCAATTCGACCCGGACCCGGGCCCCACCAGGCCGGGCCGGTTCGCCAAATAAAAGACCGAACCCGGACCCCCCCCCCCGGGCCTAGGCCCGACCCGGACAGGGGTGGACTCGGGCCGGGCGACCCGAACCGGAACCGGCCCGGTCACTATTTGAACCGGCCCGGCGGCCCGGCCCAAGGGCGGTTCGGGTCGACCCGGCCCGGTGGCTACCGGTTCCGGGCTCAGGCCTTCATTTTGGTGAACCGGTCCGGCCGGTTCGGGCCCGTTCCGGGCTGGATTTTTTTTTTTTTTGAATTTTTTTTAAGTTTTTGGGTTGGATTGGGTATTTTGGACCATTTGAGATGGTTTGGGGTTGAGGGGGAGGGTAGGGGGTTGATTAGGAAAACCCAAAAAAATATATATATAGAACCGAACTGGGCCCGGCCCAAACCGGACCCGGGCCGGTTCCGGGCCTCCCCTACCTTGAACCGAGGCCCGGCCGGTTCAAGGCCCGAACCGGGCCCGGCCCGAACCGAGTCCACCCTTAGACCCGGACCCGGACCCGAGAACCGGGCCGGTCCCAGTCCCACACAGTAGCGGGCCGGGCCGGTACACGGGCCGGACGGCCCAAACCAAGTCCAAGACTAACACAAACATTACCAAATATGATATGAGACAAATTTAATGAAACGAACGGGGAAAAAATTGGAATTATAGTGGGATGAAGAGAGTATGATACTTTTTAAATACTTATCCCAGAAGAAATAGTGATGAATTAATTTCATTTGATCAAACATAGTTCTGTTTCGTAATTAAGTTTTACAAACATGATTTTTTTGGGAGAACAATATATGACTAACCAATTGCTTATAGAATCCTTTTGTAGATTACCTATTTTTGGGTGGGGTTGATATATTTTATTGCAATAATCCAAAGCAACTTATTTTTCACGAACAAACCGTGTGGGTAAATATTACTACGTACAAATTTACAACAAATGCTACAAAAAAAAATTCAAACTATTGTTTGACCACCTTGACCTTCATGGGTACCTCTACAACAACATTCAAGATTTTTCCAGGAACATATATTCTTTTTCTAACAGTAACCCCATCAAGAAACTTGGACATCTTAGCATCAGTTGAAGCCAACTGGAAAGCATCCTCTTCTGAGCATCCTTCTTTGACCTGTATGGTGCCCCTTGTCTTCCCGTTGATTTGAACTGGGAGAACCCAGGTGGAGTCTTTCAGGTAAGTGGGATCAGACTGAAGAATAAGTCAGATGAGTTGAAGTCAGGGATTATGGAGGAAGAATGGACATCCTAACCTAATTGTTCAGGCTTTAAGGTTAAGGTCATGCTTATCTGGTCTGGTTAGGTCTGATCTGGTGTGGGACTGAAAACAGTCCAAAAGAAAACATCCTAAGTCTCATGATTTGGTCTAGTCTGTTTAATGTGGTCTCTCGTCTGGTCCATTTAGTAACTGATATGTGTCCTAAGAGAACATGTTCTCAAACTCATACTCGGGTTTGTATCTGTGTTGGGTAAGAACTGTGCTGATTGTCCACACGATGCCGAGTTTACCCAGCTAGCATGAGGGGCCTCTTACAGTACCTTACACCCACCATATGCGACATATTCTAACTTTATTGCCTAAGTGTTAGGGTTGAGAGTTGTGGTTCAACTAATATATTGTTGGGCTTTATTTAATTTGAAAGTTAAAATCATACCTTGGGAAAAGGTTCATATGCCAGCGATTTGGTGTGTCCAAGGCGAGACCAAAGCTCCTCAGACATGTGAGGTGCATATGGTGAAAGCAGCAGAACAAAAGGTTCGATTATTGACAATGGAAGTTTGTCCCACTGAGTATGGGGATTCAGAAAGAGAACAAAAATATTAAGATGTTTCATCATTACAGACTAAGAGTAGGTGTTAATGGCGATTAGGAAGATTTCAAAAACCTTATATGCAGCGTTGATGAACTCCATCATTGCAGAAATTCCTGTGTTGAACCGTGTTCCTTCAATTTCTTCTGTTACCTGCCGAAATCACCAATCCACCAAACTGGTCATGAAGGCAGGAGAACTGGAATTTTTATCTATAATATGTGAAATTACCTTTCTAATGGTGCGATGAAGGCAACAGTACTGTTCTATAGATGGCTTCTCATTGAAAGTTGCAGTGCCAGCCTGAAATGTGCCATCCGGTAAAGGTGGACCGATTACCAGTCTCCAAACTCTTGCCAGAAAACGATGAACACCTTCAATGCCACTGGTACTCCATTGTTTCGAATCTCTATTGCACAAGATCAAAGCTATATCAACATGTCATTAAGCATACAAGTTTTGGAAAAAGAATTTTGTGAAGTAATTCTTACATAGCTATAGAGTTACCAATTAATGTTTGGTTATACTCCCGCATTACTATTTTATTTTATTTTTTACTTTGCATGGAGTTTCAGATGAAATTGTATGGTTAAGATTTATTTTAAAAGTAAAGAACCAATATCAACCACATAATTTATTTTTTAAAAAGAAATGGGAAACAGAGCGATTATTTCAGAACAGTCTAAAAAGGAGAGCTAAATTAAAAGGGAAAGAGGGAGGTAACATGTATCTACTTATCAGCTTGTTTTTTAACAAATACTGATTTATTTGACTGCATAGATTGACTTGGTTAGTAGTGAAAAAAGTAGTGCAAGGAACAACAGGTACATTTTGGCGGAAGATGCAAAGATGAATGAAAATTACATTTTTACACATCTTTTCATACTCCCTCCGTCACTTATGATTTTACGAAATTTGACAGGCACAAGAAATAATAAAGCAAAAACTAGCGATTGAGATATGTGCACAGGAGAGAGAAATAATAGGAAACACAAATTAAAAGATTGAAAAGGATGTGTAAAGTATTTGGGACAACCAGAAAAGGAAAGATAGCAAAGTCACTCCTAAAAACAGGCTATTAAAAAACAAAAACAGAAACCACTGGCAAACTAAAGAAAGTCGAAGCTACCTTAATGGCCCCATAAACATTTCATATAAGCGAAGAGAATCTGCACCGAACTCTAAAACAACATCATCAGGATTTATGACATTTCCCCTGCTCTTGCTCATCTTGTGAGCTCTGGCAATCACACGTACACTTCGATCATCTTTTAACACAAATGAACTCCCAGATTTTATGACCTAGCTCATCACAAATAATATTTTATCCCATTAATCTACTATGTTTCGAACAGATATCTTCTCAAAGTTCTCATAACAAAAGCTAAACAGATTTTGAAAATTGAAAAAGTGGAGAATAAACATTGGGGAATATATGTACATAAAACTTAAACAGGCTGAAAAATAAATAAATAATCCAAAGTAGGAAATTTAGGAATTTAACATTTAATAAGCAAAAAATGTACCTTCGCTTCTGGTATTTTTTCTTGAAAGGCCTCACTCAAATCATCAATTAAGTCTGCTGATATGAAGTTTCCATTGGAGTCTTTGCATGCAATATACTGAACCTGAGGCACACTCATGTTTCACTTTTAAAATTAATACCTCAACTCCTCAATATTAATGGTTGGAAGTTAAATGAAACACTCGTCATGGCAAATCAAAATATACTTACTTCACCAAGGATGATTCCCTGGTTTATGACACATTTGAAGGGTTCTTTTGTTGAGACTACGCCAATGTCATAGAGAACCTACAACCATGAGCACAATGAAATACAGCATTTTGTAAAGGCTTTAATATTTTGGCATTCAGAGAAAGTGTGTTTTGATTCTTCATAGCTCATACCTTGTGCCAGAACCTGGCATAAAGTAAATGAAGAACAGCATGTTCTGCACCACCAACATATACATCAACGGGGCCCCAATACCTGTGCACAAAACATATATGTTGAACTGTTTGCATATTTGAAGAGCAATGCAGAACTCACCCAAAAAAACAAAATTAAACCTAAAATATGTAGAGAAACTTGGCAGCATGCCCTAGAAGTAAGAACAACTTACTTTTCTTTTGTCTGGTCAACCAAAGCAGTGGAATTCCTTGGATCTATAAATCTTAGATAATACCTGCAATAACAAATTGGGAAAAATTGACCCTTCAATTTCTGTTGCCCAACACAAAATACAACTACTAGAATATATACTGAAATGTTGGAATGTTCATTGGAGAAGAAAACAATAAATCATGTAAATAGATAAAGAAAATTCAGGTTAATTTAGCTTCTCAAACCCCCATTACCAGCAAGAACCAGCCCATTGTGGCATAGTGTTGGTTTCACGTCGTGCAGACTTCCCAGACGAATGATCAGTAGTATTAACCTGAAAAACTAATCAGATTAAAATGACTTCATGACATCAAGCATTCAAGCTAACAACTCTCTATGTGCACATGTCAGCAGAGTATGACACATTGAGAACTAACAAGTAAAATAAAAAGAAACCACAAGTTAAGATTTAAGGTTTTGTAATTCAATATCTTAATTGAACCAGGAACTTCCCTAACCTATGCAATGAGGCAAATTCTCCAAATAAATTAACCAACTTATTCTAGTTAAGTGTGTCAATGGCTGTCAAATCTACCCTCGTCATCATTAACTTGGGAAATTCAAATCAGCACAAAGAATACAAATTCAATATAGACTAACATAGCAACAAACATAAACATACCCAAGAGTTTGCTTTGGAAAGAGGTGCTTCACCCGTTCCTGTTGGAGTAAAATCATCCAGCTCAGGAAGGACAAGTGGCAGCTCAGACTCGGGAACCGGAACACATTCTCCAGTTTCATCCAGATAAATAACTGGGATAGGTTCCCCCCAATAACGTTGTCGAGCGAAAAGCCAGTCCCTTAGCTTGTAATTTATCTGCAGCAAGATAAAAATGCAAACATTGAGTGATAAAATACAGAACTCCCCAAGGATATGTACGGGATGTGAAAAATGTTAGGGAAAGGACAAAAAATGCTAACGTAAATAGATTATTATGTGTGGTTTTGCCCTAATTACTAAGGATCAAGTTTGATTAAAACCTTTTAAAATACAACATATATTATACGATAGTACTTCTTTTGTCCCAGCTTGAGCTTCTCACTTGCCTCTTTTGGACATCCTAGCTAAAGCCTAAAGGTTCTCATTTATATTTTAGGAAATAACTAGCATTCCTAAATGACAACTTAATCATCAAATATTAAAAATAATACACCTAAAACATCACAATTATCATCAATGAACCTCATTATATTATATACTCATCAAAATTACTTCTGAAAATATACTTGAATCATCTTATTTAATTAGTCTAAATAATTGTGCCATTTTTCAATGAGAAGCTTAAGCCGAATGGAGGTAGTATTTCTTAGTCTTTTATATATAGATATATATAAGAAAATCAAGTTGAAAAAATATTTAAAGTCCATTTATGATTTAAAGTACTCCGTATTTTTTTTATTTTACCCAACTTTCCTATCCTTCCAAACTTTCCATCTATTTTCATCCTTTTTCTCTTTCCTAGCATTTTCCAGATTTTGAATTGACCACAAAATTGAAAGATATGTGCAGCATAGAAGTCAAGATCTAGAACAAAACCTGTTTCTTTCCCTTTCCACTTTTCTCAAGCCACTCAATGACTCTAGAAACTGCTATTTTGCTAGACAGACCATTGATATCCAGCCCTGAGGATGAACTGGATGAATTGATCATTATTCCATCACCTGTATAAGGTTTCTCATGGTTATTGAGAGTATCATCAACCGGCATGACAACCCGAGAAATTGGAATATTGTGCTTCAGTGCAAACTCATGGTCACGTGCATCATGAGCAGGCACAGCCATTATTGCTCCAGTCCCATAGCTGAAATGTGTATGATAATAGTCAGATTCAGTAGAATCTATGCTCACAAAAAATCTTATACAGGGAAATAGGACAGCCAGCATGATACGCTTCAGCGGATTCAAATAAATATGCAAACAAGAAAACTAATATCAAATACTCCCTCCATCCTAAAAAAATAATCACATTTCAAAACTTACTTCTGAACTTATAGACTCTTATTTCAATAAAAGCAGCTAAATTTCTTTGAAATCTATGTTCTTCTAAAACAAGTGTAAAAGACAAGTTAATTATTAAATTTAGTTTGAAGTTACCAACAATCTGAAAATTGTAAATAGGAATTATAACTCACAACATTCCTTTTTGGGCCGCATGTAGTAACTGTTATGTGCAGAAGAACATCCCAAGGTTTAAAAATGGAAGAACCTTGAAACAAGAACAAGACAAAACAAACCTTCCCAATACATAGTCAGCAACCCAAATTGGAATAGCTTTTCCGTTAGCTGGATTTCTTGCATATGAACCAGTAAAAACACCAGTTTTTTCCTTTTGAAGCTCAGTTCTTTCAAGTTCACTCTTTCTTGAGGCAAGTTCTATGTACACTTGCACCTGTGCTAAAAAATAGGTAGCATGATAGAAATCCAACAGGTCCTGGGAACTGAAATACTAACAAAATTAGAGGGAAGCCAAACATACGTCTTGTTTTTGGACTTCAGATACAATTGATAACATTAGACTATGCTCAGGTGCAAGAACTAAATAGCTGGAGAGAAGAAAAAAAAGTGTTAACTGCTACTCAATGTGCCAAAGAAGGGATTGGGCAGGGAAAAACTAATTAGAGAGAGAGAGAGAGAAATGCCTACTTTGCCCCAAAAACAGTATCAGGCCTTGTTGTGTATACAGTAACTTTCAAATCTCTGTCTTGATCATCACTATTTATTACACAAAAATCCAGCTCTGCCCCCTCTGACCGCCCTATCCAGTTTCTCTGCATTTCCTTAACGCTCTCAGGCCAGTCGAGGTCATCTAGATCTTCAAGGAGATGATCAGCATATGCAGTAATCTTCAACATCCATTGCCGCATAGGCTGTTCTGCAAGGAACAATGTACTTAAAATCGTGAAAGCATCCAAGAATATAAAATAGTGAGGGATGATAAAGAAAAGAGCTACTCAGAACCAACCTAATTTGTTTCTCTGTCCATCCCAAAAAACAAGTCATGTTTGATATAATGAAAAAAATCTACGTGAATTGTCAAATAATTATAACCAAGTTTAAAACGACATATTTATTAAAAATGCTCCATAAATAAAAATAGAATGCAATGTCTTTTAAGGGTTCTTGTACCGTGACAAGGTTTTAAAGCTGTCCCTAGACCAGACAGGGCTTTTTTACGGGGTGGGGTGATATAAAAAGTATACCTTTCTAACGACAGGGTGCCCTCCACGTTCACTTACTCCATCAACTATCTCTTCATTTGCCAAGACAGTGCCTAGGGCAGGACACCAATTTACAGGAACTTCAGCCTATATATATAGACACGGACTGTTACGTCCAACTCTAATAGAGAAATATCATCACTCTAAAACTCTAGAAGTGCTCGATACCTGATATGCTAGTCCTCGTTTCAATAGTTGAATAAATATCCACTGTGTCCATCTATAATATTCAGGCTCAGTCGTTGAAATTTCACGGTCCCAATCATATGAGAAGCCTAATGATTTAAGCTGAAAGATCATTTTAGATGTAGTCAACTAATTAGAATGTTCAAATCACTATTTTCTTTAGATGCAAGATTCTGTGATAAATACATACAAGTGTGGAACAAACATTATTATGTTTTTTTAGGTGGAAGAAAACATTATTAGTCTGACAAATTACAAATATGATGTAAATAGAACTAACAGTAAGAGAAGCCTAGTTCAAATCTCCACGTTAATTATATGCAAGATTATGTTATAAAGACAGAATAAAACATCACTAGCATGAGCAATGCACCTACATGTTCACAAATTTTAGTGTCGCAATAGAATTAGTGTGTAAATGAAAGAGAACAAGTTAAATTAGAATGTTCAAATCACTATTTTATTTAGATGCAAGATTCTGTGATAAATACATACAAGTATGGAACAAGCATTATTATGTATTTTTTTGAGAAGGAACAAAACATTATTAGTCTGACAAATTACAAATATGATGTAAATAGAACTAACTGTAAGAGAAGCCTAGTTCAAATCTCCATGTTAATTATATGCAAGATTATGTTATAAAGACAGAATAAAACATCGCTAGCATGAGCAATGCACCTACACGTTTTCAAATTTTAGTGTTGCCATAGAATTAGTGTGTAAAGGAAAGAGCACAACTTCTGAGGAAGGCTACCTGTGATCGGAAGCGACTTATATTTTTCGTTGTTGTAATTCTTGGGTGTGTTCCGGTCTAGGAATCAAAGGAGAGAAAACAAATAAAGATACTACAAAACTACATAACAACATAGCTACATCAAATTTGAATCATGATAAATGGAACAAAAAAACCTCTATTGCATACTGCTCTGCAGGTAAGCCAAATGCATCCCATCCCATTGGGTGCAAAACGTTGTAGCCTTGCATGCGTTTATATCTAGCAAGGATATCTGTAGCAGTGTACCCAAGAGGATGCCCAACATGCAATCCCGACCCACTGCAAGAAATGACAAACTAAAGACCGAACCAACAACACTAAACAAGCCTTGACTGTGAAACTAGTAAAGACTATCATCAAAGCTCAAAAAAGTCCACTAAAAGTTAGCAAAAAATCCAAACTTTGAATCACCTATAGCGAAACACCTATCTAACCTTGGATAGGGGAACATGTCAAGAACATAATACTTCGGTTTAGAAGTGTCGATTTCATCGGGGGTACGAAAAGTTTTGTTCGCCTCCCAAAATTTCTGCCACTTAGGTTCGATTTCGTGAAATGGGTATGCTCTCCTCACTTCTTGATGCCCACTCTCCTTTTGATCGCTCTCCAATTCAACACCTTTTATACTGTTGGTTTTGCTATCACAGCAGGAGACTCCGAGACGGAGGCAAGTGGTTGAGCGACGGCGGAGACCAGGTCTAAATTTGGTAGAGAAGAGCGGCTGCCTGCGGCAAACTGGGGGTGGCGGAGATTGTGGCAGTGGAAGCAAGTGGAGGCGCGGGTGAGTATGAATTTGGGTGTTCATAGTTAGTGGCTGAGGAATGAGTAGTGGTGGTCGGAGTGTGTTTCACGATGAAGATGGATAACGTAGCCGAGGACTTGGCGGTAAATTTGGATTCGGGCGGTTCGGATATTTATCAAACCCGATCCAATTTTATGAGTTTTTTTTTGCTCGAAGATGGCTTAATTCATAAAAATAACATTCAGCAAGAGTACAAAAATAGAAAGAACCACATATAATTATCCGCCCGTGACTGAGACTGAGAGTTGACCACCCACCTGTAAAAAAAACAGTATAACTCGTTAGACCAAAATCAGGCAACTTAAAACCAATGATGGTTACATCCCCAAACCTAATGCAACTATGCAAGCATCTTACAGAGATTTAAAACACAAAAGAAAAACAGATGAACATAGTATCCGAAATAAAAATAAACAAAACAGACAATAAAAATAACACCATCACTTGTTTTCTTCACCAGCACCGTCATAGAAAAACATGGCGGGTCGCTTTGTATCTCCAGGAGTCTCATCTTTGTCCACTATCTCGTGTTGTGATGGTCTGCTAGTCTTGGACTCAGCCGAAATCCCCCCCCCCCCAGATCAGACTTCCACTGAACTGCATATCCACCCGAGCTATAAGCTCCATCAGATAACCACTTGTTGGGTCCTGTTGGGCTTGTCTTCACCCTTCCTCCTGCTCTAAGTCTCACCCCATAGGTTTTTTCAGCTACAAAGCCCTCTTCATACTTCAATGGACAGAATTTATCAGAATGTCCTATTATACCACATATAAAGCAAAAGCTAGATAGTTTTTCATATTTAAAATCCACTCAATGGTTCACCCCATCTTGTGTCAAATTGGTACCTTTTTTCAAAGGCTAACGAACATCCAGACACACCCTTATACGCACGTAAGAACTCTGTTTCCCATCAAACTGGCTCATCTCAAACTTAATAAAAGAGCCTAAAAAATTACCAATTTTCCTGGCAGATCTCAAATTTCTATATTTTATAGGGGCATTATGAACTTGTACCCAAAAACTAGCCTCAAATAAATTCATCGATTCGGGTATGTCATCTCGTTGAACAGCTTTCAACAGTATTAAATCACGCTCAAAAAGCCAAGGGTCATCCTCAATCACACGGTTCATATCCAAAACATGATTAAAGTTTAGTAGATACCTTCGCTCGCAATCTCTTTGATAGACATACCTTTCCCTGGTTTCCAGATTGAAGTCATCAACTCTTGGAACCCCGGTAATTTGACCTGGTGGTCGGTGATGACAACCCCAACCACCGGAAAGCCCGCCGGTTCCATCTCCTCCTCGTCGCCCCCCCTCTGCCTCCTCATCGAAATTAAGCTCGTTTTCCTGATACTCCATTGACATCTTCTTGTATGAATTGACAATGTCCTCCATGCAGTAACCTTCCTCGATCAAATCGGCTACCGCGACCTACTTCTCGAACCAAGTCCTGTTGTGCGAGCTTCGCTTTGCCTAAGACTTCCCCCCTGCGTTGCTGCTAACTATTCCTCGCTGAATTGCTGAGAAACGAAGATGTAGAGAGAGCCTCTTGCTCAAAATTGATTTAATGTTCTTTGTTCCCAATTTTATGAGTTAAAAAGAATTTTGTACTCCGTATAAATGTAAGGGAATTAATTTATTTATTTTCTAACTCAACTCGTCACCGACTCGAGAGTCTTTCTCTCTTCTCTCTCTCTAGGGTTACCCGACTACATTCGGGTAACGCCTAGCCTTTGTCCGTCGCCAGCCGCCTAGGAGGCCTCGGCCGTCATCGGTGGCTGTGTTTGGAGTGCGGTTTTTTTATCGATCTCTTCGGGGCTTCACCTTGGTTGGAGTTTTGTTTCAGTCGAGGAGGTCGGCGGCAGAAGGAGGAGCGTTGGAGCTTTCGGCGTGGTCTGTCCAAGTCGTCCTCCATGAAAGTTTCGTGTTGTTACGGGGGATTCGTGCTGTGAATGGAGAGTTTTGTATACAAGTACAAAAACATGGAGATTGGGACGGAGGAAGAAGATCTGGATTTCAATACGGAAGACGTTCCGGTAGGGAAAAACAGTCCAGGGTTTCCGGTGGTAGGAGTGCTACTGACTATTGACGTGGATGAGTGGCGAGTGCGTCCCCCTCCCGAGACGCCGCCATGGAGTGCAAACAAGGTTAAGAACGTTCGGGTGCTCGTGCGGATTGGCAGGCTTGGACAGAGTTTCAAGTTAATTTGCTTTTTATTTCTCATTAGTGATATTTTATTTTGCTGTGTGGTTTTTTCGTTGTTGCTGTTACTTTTTGTAAGATGCTTGATTTTGATGTGGGTGATGAGAGGATTGTGGTAACCGTCTTTGGCTCATTTGTGCCCATTAATGGAACAGCGAATTATATTTGCTTCGTTAGAGGTGATTAATTCCGAGTCTGGTTCGTGGGATGGCGGTTGTCAGGAATCTTTTTGTCGGATTACCCATAATCTGAATTATGTGTTATCAATTTAAGCCTATTTCTTCCAAAAAAAAAACTCAACCCAATTTTTCACTAAAAAAAAAACTCAACCCAATTTTATACGGAGTACCTCTTAATGTGTGTCTTTAACAATTTGTATGATTGTTCAGCAAAAAAACAATTTGTATGATTGCTAAGATGCAAAGAGTAAAAATGACTAAACGGAAACATGTGTAAATATATGATAAACATACATTAGAACATATTACCATCGTTTAAGTTGAAAACGCATTTTAACTTTTTAAGTAGTGGGGTTTCAATAAAACACTACAAAAATTATGTTTTGGACAATAAATAAATATGTTTTACTTCTCATTTTAGCTATATGAGAAATGTCAATTAAGTCTTCTTATTCCAAAAATTGCCCAATCAACCTTATGAAGTTGTAAAAAAAACGTTCAAAGCATTGGCGTAGTATGTCAACTCCCAATTTCCTAGTGACCACCCTACGTAGAGGCCTTTTGACAATACTGTTTTTCGGCTTATGACACAACATTTTCCAACACGTAACTTTGGCTTTCGCGTGCTGAATTATGTAATAAACAGATAAAAGTAAGGTTGGAGTTACTTTGTTGATTGTATTGGCTGAAGTTATTGTAGATAACCATTTTAGCTATTTTTACATATAATTTTTTTTCTTTATTTTATTAATAAAATATATTTTAAAATTATTATTTTTCTTAAATCAGCAGAATCGGCCAATGCAGTCACTTCAGTTAAAACTTCATAAATTTTAACAGACTTAGTCAAATCAACCAATTTTCATGCTACCAAACGGGCTCGTAGTGTGATAGTGTCCATGCGGCACTATTCTCTTCATTTTTACTACTTCCGCCCCCTAACATTGGGGCAAAAGCAAGTTGTGTGGTTGTTAAGAAAAAAATGAAATTGTGTAGTTAGTGCTCCCTCCGTCCCAAATTGAGTTGCAAATTTGATTTTTTTTTTTTTGTCAAAATGATTCATTTTATTCACTTAATTATAATATTAATTGTTAATTAAATTTTAATTAAATACATCAATTAAGCAGTAGTTTACTGACACCAAAAAAGAAAAAGAAATTAAGACTAGTAATTTAGTAGCATAATAAGAGATTTTGAGTGAGTGATCAAAATGACCAAAAACGTTATATTCATACTTATTTGGACCATTTGATATCTTGATGCCCAAGATTCACTTATAACTAGTGTCTATTTTGATCTTCCCTTTTAAATTAACCTTTTCTCTTTACCCATTTTTACCTTGCTTGTTTGTATAAATTTTTAACCAAGTTCTAAACAGTTTCATCAAGAAATGCGTCCCATGCATTAATCATGTGTAGCTTAAACACCTTTTGCAAGATTTAGAGCATTTATTTATGAATTTATAAATAAGTCCAATACTTCAATGTGAACTCATTTACTAAACTTATTCTTTTGACCTTTTGAGCCTATTTTCACCGCATTATTTAATTTCAGCGCGTGGGAGAGTTGCATTTATTTGTTTCCTTTGATTGTTGATTTGTTTCAAAGATACACTTCGAGTACAACATTTTAATATAATCCACAAGATTTTGTTAAAATTTGTTACAATATTGTTAAAATTTCAACAAAATCAAACTGCAGTTACTGTAAAAAACGAAAGGAGTGAAGGAAGAACGATGAAATTGAAATTTCAGAAGCTTGGAATTACAACACAAGGTTTTGCAGACCACTTCTACATCATCTATACTCACAGAAACTCAAGATTGCCTACTGCCTTAGAGCTACAGATTCTTCTGAATGCAAAGGCTTCTCGAGTTCTTAAAACAGTACGGGAGGGGTCTATACAATGCTTTCAGCTAAACATTATGGAATATGGAAGATGATAATTTACATTGTGACATTTTCTTTCTTCATTAAGCTCCTAAAGAACACACACACACACACACACTAGGTAGGCATATAACCAAATAGAGCATTGATTCAGGGTTCTCTTTCAAAAATTACATCTGGAAGAGAGGGTGAGGAGCCGGCGCTGACTTTGCTCGGAGCAGGCGTGTTTCTCCGAGAGTGGCGTGTTGTGGGGACCAGTATGCCCTCTCGCTCCAATTTTTCATTGGTTTCCTCGTCATCATCGTCATCATCCCCTTTAAAAACTGGGTGAACATATGCATCTTGAAGGTACGCTTTTAGGTTCAGTGCGGGCTCCGTGGCTCTCTCTAGAGTATCTTTCATCTTTGCTTCCTGTAGCACGACAAGAGATATCATCTCAGACCCCGTTTGAAACACATAATATACCAGGAAGGCAGGAAAGGAAGCTTTTAAGGAAGGTTTGGGGAGAAATAATGGCTATTAGTTCAAATCCAGTAATTTTATTTGAGATATTTGTTCAAAATTCGGTTTTATATTTATTTGTTTTATATAAAGACTAAGAAACTTAAGTGAATGAATAGAGGCTAAAACTCAATAATATACTTTAGATCATTTATGGGGAAAGGGAATAAACATACCCACCTCAAACAATGGTAATTTTTCCCAGTAATCCAGGGATTGATCATTTATGGGGAAAGGATAAATAGACCCTTATCTCAAACCATAGTAAGGTCATTCCGTTTTCTTTTTCCCAGCAATCCAGGGCTGCCACATGGCAGCTCACGA